AAATATATTTGAAAAAGATTATTATTTCTGGTCATATTCCCTACTGAACAACATGATAACTGTAGTGAATAATAGAAACCACATCACTTGAGGACTACCAACAGCAGCAACAACAAAAGTGGATAGCACATCTGACACAAAGATGTTAACATTCAACACTACTTCAAATAAATGGTTAGGAACGAAACTCCCATCAATACTGGAAAGATTCATTACAGCTACAGGACATAAGAAACCTATATTCCTGAAAATTAATTCCAAGAGAAGGATTTTATAATTTTCTACTGAAAGTAGTACTGGCTGCTCTGTCAATTAATACGATATGTTTCCTTGTAAGAAATCAGCTAATATTACCATATATATATATATATATATATATATATATATATATATATATATAAAGTGAAAATTGAAGTCAATAATCAGAGGTGACAGACTGTTTCATTTTAAATGCTATCATCATGCCACGTGATATTTACATATGCTCTATCTCTGATATTGGGCACTTTATCCCATAAATATAGCATAACTTAAAACTATATATATATATATATATATAGATAAAAAGAAAACTTAGCCAGTGCATTTTGTCCTCTGAGGGAAATTATTAAGGCAAATATGAGTATTTTATTTTGTAACAAGTATTTATATACAAGAGCAAAAATATTATTGATTTTTCAAAATTTTAAAATTCAAGAATACTCATAAATATTTATCAGTCGAAAAGTGGACACACGTTATGGAGGATGCCAAGGGACACAATTCAATGTCTACTAAATGAAAGTGAGTAAATGATGTTCTTGAATTGAATTTTTTATGCAAATTAGTATTTAAATTATTTTAGTTTTGGATTAATTTATGTGTTGTATATTTTAAATAAAATGAGGTTATGAATTTAACCACTTTTAGTTTTAATATTTCTATCATCATGTATGTTGGCTTGTGGGAAGTAATAATTCCTTTAGGAATGGAGATATTTTTAAAAAAATTTGGGTAGCAGATAGATATTATGATAAGATTCAGTAACAGCACTCTTGAGAATTTCCATCTAAGTTACTTTCTCTTTTAATTAAGTATGGCATTCTTTAGATCAAAGTTTTGGTTAAATTTATTTCTAAATATAAATAATGCATTTGATTAAAACAAGACTGACAAGGTCTGATGTTTAATTTTTATTGCATTTTTTTCAATTTTCAAATAAAATTTAGTGTATTGGGATCAATTTTGTATAAGCTTCCTGAAGTTCATCTTTGTGTTTTTGTTTTATTCAAGTAATTTTGACCATCTCCATCATTTTCAAGAACCAATGTTTTATCTGTGTGGTAGGCAGAATTCCTTTGTCTACATCCTGGTATTCTTTGGAAAGCTGCAACTTTTAAATTAAGGTTATTGGGTATGAGGCTACATCAAAAAGGATGTGTTATACATTATATACACTTCAATATACTCTCTCCTGTGGTGAATGATAGTTTATTTAATGTAGGCTGTTTATTTTATATAATAATACCTTCTAATGATTTAAGTCTTACTTTGCACCTTGTGCTGTAGAGTATTTTGGTATTATCCACGAATATTTATATTGTTGTTGCTCATAATGTGATGATTGATTTGTGCATAAATTGCACTGAGTTCTGCTAGGTGACAAGTAATCCTGCCAGTTTGCCTGATGTAAGAATTTAATGCAATCTCCCAAAGGATTTGAGAATTCATAAGCAACTTTATTTTGATGTAGGAGTGGTGGTTGGGGAGTTGAGGCTCTGCGTTGTTGTCTAAATATACCTTACACACACATATATATATATATATATATATATATATATATATATATATATATATATATATATATATATATATATCTGTATGTGTATGTGTATGTTTTTCCATGTTGCTGTGACCAGGGGGTTTTTTGCAGGTTTTTACAGCATTATTATCACTAACACAAACCAACACCAGTTGAAAATGCAAGCTCAAATATATCTTCTTATTTACACTGTTTACATTGTTCAGACTGTTGACCTCATCTTTACTGTCATATTCACAACATTATGGCCATTGTATGTTTCGGCCTTCTTCAGTGGAAAAAAGTTACAATATCTCATTTCAGAAACATAGACAGATATATAGAGAGATTTTCTTATATTCACAACTTTTGGGCTAATGTTCACAAGAAGACTCATAATCTTTCCATGAATGAAACATTAATTCAATGATGTGAGATTGCTATTAATTGATCAGCTGAAAATAAATAATAGGTCTTTTTATCTATGTAAATTCTTTAAAATTACCCCCTTATGGTAACCAGAACATATGCACATACAATATAATTTTTGAAAAAAATGTTTTTTTTTTACAGTCCATAATCAGGAGTACTTAATATATTAAAAAAATAACTCCAGATTATAAATTTCAAATCTTATTTTTTTTAACATTTTTAGAAATTACATTTGTTTCAGCTTCCATAGGAGAATCTGTTTACTGAAACCCCTATTAACTTTTATGAAATTTAATGAGACTTTTTCTTAATCGATAGCCATATGAAAAAAGTATTATTTCAAGTCACTGTGCCTACTGTACAATTCAATTGTACTCATATATATGAGAAAGAGAGAAACATATATAATTAGCAGCATTGAAAGTTTGATGCCACTAGTCTTATTTCAAATTGATTCATTACATGGCATTATGATTGCAATCATGAGATTGAATTCCTTCAAACTGAATAGCTATATATATATATATATATATAGTGGACTCTGGTGAAATGGAACATTCCTTACAAGGAACAGCTGCTTACAAGGTACAAATGTACAAGAACAGAATCAGCTTTTCAAATCTGTTCTTTTTATACAAATCTATTTGAAAGGAACGACCATTTTCAGAAACTCAAATTCATGGTTTTTCGCTAAAGTTGAATCATTTTATAGTCACTTTTATATTTTCATTAAATATAGGAGAAAATTGAAATAATAATGAGCAGAAAGTCAGTGTAAAACAGAATCAGTCTCCCAATGTTAGCGTTGGACATGCTGCTAAAATCAAGGATTTAATACAAAAAGACAAATTTGCATCCATTCACACATGCATCTTTGTGAACGCACACATGCATTTTCTTTTTAAAAACATCTAAAAGAAAAAAATAATAATAATAATAATAAAATAAAATAAAAAAATTTTGGCAGTATTTTTACCCTTTTAACCTGATGGCTGGATTACTGGAATTTGACTAACATCTAAACACACCTGTTTGATACACCTGCCTGTTGATAATGTATATTTCACTTTTTGGTTATTATAAATGATTAAATTATGATTACAAATCAAAACAATTTTACCTCATAAAGTAGCTTTATCCATGAAAATTCCATGCTTTCTTATTTTAATTTTCTGACGAGACCGCTCATAAACCCATTGGGTTCCTTTTAAAAGCAGTTTATGATATTAAATGATAAGATAACAATATTATCCATTTTATTATTAATTACACATGTTTTAATTTGTATTTGAAATACATTTCAATAATTATTATTATTCATATTATGCAATACTACTCAGATCAAATGCAATAAGAAATGAATACATGCAATGGTTTGCAGATTTTGTGAAAAATTGCAGTCCCTGATACACAGAACAACAGAAAAAACAACTTTCAAAATATTAAAATTATTAATATGATATGATTGAAATAAATTTAATAGTATTAACAATTCTTCTATTTATTAATGAAATTCAGTTAGAAATTGAATGATGAACATTAAATTATCAACCAAAAGACTGAACAATAAATTAACGATACCAGAATGACATAGGCCTGTCATTATTCCAAGACTATAAATAAGCTTTAAGTTGAAATATCCATTTAATGCAGAAATTGCCCTGCAGCAAAAAGTTTATATTTTTTTTTTTAAAATGCAATTGCAAACTGATATCATACTAAAGGCCTTTCTATAGCCCTGGGGTGACAATTTATACTAATTTTAGTATTTACCCTATTATAATTTCCAAAGGTGAAGGTAATTCCAAAAAAAGAAAAACTAAACAAACAGCAATTGTCTGTTTAAGAAGATTCATATTTATTGAAATGATAATGTACAGATACCTCATTTTTTTTATACTTAGTTTCATTTTTTCAAAATAATAATTATATTTTTTATTATACATAATCATTTCTTTCTCACATTTATTTGAAAATAGATAATGGCAGCAAACCAGCATGCATTTATGTATTTAACATCAAGTCATGCGACACAATTTTCCTGCAATACAGATTGTTTTACAATAACACACCCACATAGCAGCTTTATCCATCAAGTACTTGCCAAACATCAGAGATATTTGCTTATAAAAAATTCTAATGTAGTGTAATGAATTGTATAAATATATGTTGTGTTAAATTTATTTAATAATTTTGTTTTATTAAGAATGTTGCAAAAAGAGTAAAAAGGCCCTAGCCCAAGAACCCTTGTCTAATTTTAATGAAATTTGTCACTGCACTTGGTTGCAGTTTAAGATACAGTATGTATCTAAATAGACTGGGGTATTATATATCATTTAAACTGTATCTTGGGAACACATATTTAAAGATTAGATTTTTAGTATACCATAAATGTATCTTAATTTTCAATGACTGAATAAGCTTTTTGCAAATTCCACAACTATTAAATACCATGGAAATTCTCTATTGCATTGTTAAATATATAAGCTTCACAACTTTAATCAAATATTGCAATAACAATTATAAATATGAATGCAAATCATTATTTAAATAACTGAGAAGGAAAGTACAAATGAAAAAAAATTTAAATTAACAAGGTTTTCCATTTCCTTGAAGTAGATATTAAATGCATGAGAGTGTTATCACCTCCACTATATTCTCTTTGTTTCTTTAAAAAGAAAGCAGACATAATATGTATGATTTCTTTTTCTCACTAAAAACAAACAGTATCTCGGATACATCATTTTATTCTGTTTTTCTCAAAAAACAGGGCTTACGTCTATCTCATATTGAAACACTAGTTCTCATATGATCACCAAAGTTAAGCAACATCAAGACTGGTAAGTACCTTGATGAGTCACCACTTGGGAATACCAGGTGCTGTAAACTTGGATGTGTGGCTGGTATAATGGATAATGGCTCACAAGTAACAAGCTTGAGTAAATAGATGGCAGAGAAAGATTTAAAATAAGACAAATTTTATTAAGAGCTACAAAGGACAGTAAATTGTGGAGGGCCATGATCACCAATCTCCTGAAGGGAAAAGGCACATAGACGACGATCATGAATTGAAGAACTTAAATATAAAAAAAAAGAAACAAAAGCTAAATGATAAAATTCAGACAGAGGTGCTGATAAGTTCTCAGTCTGACCCACTTCAGTATTTTGATATTTGATCATTGCAATACTGATTTGAGGAAGTAGTTCAGGCTTAGAAATCTCTCAGCACCTCCTATTGTATTAGACATTATTCATTTATATGCATTAACATTATAATTAAGAGTTTTCAAAAAGAAGTCACTAACCTTATAAGGAAAGAAAAAGGAAAAGGGATTGGCTAAAGTGTGAAGAATAGTGAAGCAAGAATATAATTTTAAATTGAAATTAGGCTAATGGAATCTGAAATGTTGGATGAATAATCAGGAAACAATTGAAAAGTGAATTGTGAGAAGATGCAGAATTTTCTTTTTAATTGATGGGCAAGAACAAGTTTAAATTATAAGTTCTTTGAATGCATAATTATATATTCAAATAATCTTCAACCATGTTGAAACCTAGCATCTCTTTGCAAAGATGGGAAATACATATCACTAAGGTTTACAAGTTGAATATATAAAATTGCATCTTGTGACTCTTTCATGCAAACAAGATTTTCATTTAATTTTTTTATTCATCACCTCTGCAAATTCTTTTCAGAATATGAGGAAATATGATGGAGTTATTTACATTTGGATCAATACTTCTGCCTCAGTTCAAGGTGTTACTTCTCGGCCATTTGTCTAAAATCAGATTACCTCTTTGCATGCCAGTCTTCATAGTGCATATAGAATTAGAGTGGAAGTTGACAGACAACTGGAAGTAATACTGTGTGTATGTGTTGTACATGAAGTAATAGTGTGTGTATGGATTGCATGAAAAGTAATACTATTTATATGGCTTGTGTAAGAAGTAATAGTGTGTGTATGGATTGCATGAAAAGTAATACTGCGTGTATGGGTTGCTTAGGAAGTTCTTCTCTGATTCTGCATGACCAGCCATCTCTCTATCCACTTTTTCTGGCCTTGTGCCAAATTGCTGTCTAATAATAGTAATGATAATATTAGCTGTTTCGTTATAAGGAAACATGACTTTCATTGACTGAATAGCCAGTACAATTTGTAATATTTTTACTATGACATATTTCATTGATGAACAAGTATCATCATAAAAATAATTTTATTTCACATGAATAAAAACTACATTAGCTTGTGATGTCAGCAAACACACACTGACATTTTTGTGATGTCAACAAATACTCGTTGTTACTTTTGTAATGCACATTGTAGTAGAGTCTTTGTAATCGCAGATACAACTATAGTAACGCCACTGAACAATGCTTGTATCGGACACCTTCAAATAACACTCACATTAATAATACTTGCTTGATAATACTTGCTTAAAAAGTAACCACTGAATAGTAATCCGTATAGTAATCAGTATAGAGTAGAAAGAGCGATCCAAATAGTAATAGAGGATAGAATAGAAATAGTGATCATTTAGACATTACACTATTTTCAATTTATATGTTTCTCCTATGGTCATGGGATCTACTTAATTCAATAATGTGATCGCTTATGGTGGAATAATGGATAGCGGCTCAGATTGAGGAGTCAGAGAGCCAAGTTCAAATTCCATTCAAATCCATTATATTCACACGCATGCTAATACTCTTGGGAAAGGTATGAATCCTCTTCTCCCCCCAGCTATGGATAAATAGCAGAATAGAATGGGTTTTATAGCCTTGGTTGGCAACTGGCTGACCACAGAAAGAAATGGCAACCTAATGCGGAAAAAAAATTGCCTTGTCAGTCATGTATCAAAAGATACATGATTGCCTAAGCATGTATCATGTATGGCACATAACTGACTGACTGTGTTTGCTCATTGGCGATCTATGTTCACACTCAAGTCTCAGCAGTGACTTTATTCCTATATAACAATTAGCAAGGCAGAAAATGATTCACATTAAGCAACTTAACATTTGAACATATGCAGCAGCATAGGGACAGAAGTGGGAGGGACAAAGGGTGCAGTGGACCCAGACATCTATATCAGGAGAGCCTCCAATCATAGAAGAAAAAAAAAATTTAGTTTATATTTACTTTGAATAAAGTCATTATTTCATGCGTCATCTGTTTTTATATATTTAAAATGTTTTCTCTTCTCACATTTCCTAATACTAGGCCCTATAGGCCCCCACTTACTTGAATCTTTGGGGCATACAATCAAAGATTTGGCCCAGGGCATTACTAAACCTCTGCATGTCACTGAACATACAGTGCTGTTCGATAAAATGACTCACCTTATCCTTTGAATTTACCTCAACTTTCGTTTCATTGGAGAAGAGAACATTCTTCCAGTCTTCTACGGTGAAATTTTTGTAATAGTGAGCACATTCAAGTCTTTTGGCTTTGCTTATTAGGAGCTTAAACCTTCATGTACAAGATTTATAGCCTTGTTCTAACAAGATTTGTAACCTTGTTCTGACGGACTGTTGAAGAGGCAAGACTAACACCTTGCTCTTTGCTTAGTTTCTTGGCTAGTTATAGTCCTATTCTTCGCAACTTCTCTCTTGATTACCCTGCCAGTTCTATCATCAATCTTTTTTCTTTTGTGCCCTTGTTTCTTTACTTTGAGCAGGAGTGGCATCATTATGTGCCCTAAGCACTCAAGAGACAGTTGATTTCGAGGTTATAGCAATTTCTGCAATTTCTCTCATAGACTTGCCTGCTTTTGAGAGGGCAATAATAGATGCCTAAGTGGTTCTGATGTGTGCTTGTACCCTTTCATCTGGTTAGTGACTTGAGTGGCTATTTCAAGCTGTTTTTATACTGTGTGAGGCTTTCTGGAATATTCTGGAATACTCTAGATTTAATTTAAACTGTTCTAGAATTCTTTAGAATATTGTTCAGAGTGTGTTGTAAAATAGTTTTCAATATTTTGTCAAAAGTTCTTTAAATTTACCAGTTTAATCATTAGAATGCGATATCCGAGTCACTTTTTTTGCACAGAGTTTTTTCCTGAATTTCATTTATATCCAAATTTATAATTATCAATAGAATACCTTAAGGTGAATAAACTTTTTTCCTAGGTGGTCGGGAAGGGGTCTTTATGTTAATAAGATTAAAAATTATTTTAACCCCAAAAACAATAGACAAAAAATATTTTTTAGTAAAAAAATCGAACAGCACTGTATGTTACAAGAATACTGGATGTAGTACTCTCAACTAAATTGGTGTCAGTGGTTTCCAGATGTAACCAATATTTATTTTAGATTGCATTTTTCTGTTTCATAATTTAGTGAACTTTTTAAGAAGTTTAATTCATCCTAGAAAATGTTAACCTCTTCAAATTTTTATTAATTAAATACGAACATTTAATTTTTTTAAGTATTTATGAGAAAAGATGGCATCAAATTTATTTTTTTGTTTTGCATTTTCCCCTTTATTGCAAAAGAATTTCAGCAGCATCAAACAGCATCTTTTATGATAATTGTTTATTTTTAATTTCCAGAAAGTCTTTAAAGGTCATTGTATTGATGATAGAGATTTGTAAATGTTTGAGTACTTTCACAGACCCAACTGCTATCATCAGGAGGAACAAAGTAAGTGGAATATTTCCAGGTTTAATTAAATGGCAAAAACATCCTGGTTCATCACATTTAATGGAACATGTTTCCGTGAGATCAAAATACATGACTGTTCCTACGGCTGCAAACAATAAACTGGTTGCTCTTTATAACAGCCTATGCTTTTGTCCAACAAGAAGCAAGAATGTTCATCTTGTTAACTATGCTTCTGTAATTACCAGGAAGTTAACAGGATTATACAAACATTTCTATTATTGTAAATTTAAAGACAAAAAATTTTAAATCAATAACTTTTACTTCAATATAAAGGAAATGGTATTTATAAAATACACCATATGTACACCAACTATTTCCTAGAACCCTTGGTTCCACAACCATGTCATATTAACCATTTTGACAAACTAACAGAAGTTACATAATAAAAATTCAAAAATAGACACATGACCCTCTACATATGCATCACTTAGATCTCTACAGAATCATTGTAGATTAAAATATTATTAAATACATTGGCCACACAGTGAATTAGTCTGGCAAGAGAGTGTGTGTGAAATTCCTTGTAATCTTCTCTGGATTAAAAGAGGTACTAAAAAACTTGTAGTGCATCTGAAATTCAGAGGGTTTGCATTAATAAAAATTAAATTAAGTGCTATTGATAGCAAAAACAAAAAGGAAAATGTAGGATTTCCTACAGAACTTAGTAAAGGAAAGCAAGAATAAAGAACTAAACATCAATTGTACAAAGACATAATAGGCATAGTTGTCAGCAAAAGTGGCAGCCCAACATACAAACTACAAAAATTTAAACATCTGAGAAGTGTTTTAACAGAGGATGAAAATAGAACACCGAAATCAGAAGTGTCTTCCAAAAGATCAGCAAAGTATTAAGAAACAAGAAAATTTTGTTAAAAACAAAGTAAAGAGTAATGCATTAACATTGTAATATTGGAGCCTCCCATTATGGCAGTGAATACTTGACTATCTCCTCACAGATGAAGAAGAGACTTGAGGTAGCAGAAGGATGATGAGAATACCAAAGACTGAAATTGTGGGTAACAAGGAAGTTTTAAGGACAGTAAAAACAAAAGGAAATTTTTTTTAGACTCAGAAAGTGGTAGTTTAACTATCCTGAACATAGAATGAGGGAAGAGGGCTTGAAGAATTTAACACTCATAGGACATACTGAAGGTAAAAAAAAAACAGGAAAGCTTCAAGTAAACTAACAACCTTGTGGAAATGAATTGGGGAATGAGTAGGT